ACGCAATAAATAAACTTAAACGGAAGCTTTCAACTCCCCCACATATGTCGAGTTTGCCTCATTAACACTATGCAAAACATTTATGATATGCATATCGTCGTAACCAAGGGGGCAATTAGTTGATTCTCCGAACCCTGTGTTTGAATTTAATGACTTAAGCATACAACAAGTGTAGAAAATGTACCCTACACGTTTAAATTATGCGCAACAACACGTTTTCGTCGGACCTCGCGCGTGTGTTAACTATTAAATCGGAAGAGCTTTGGCGCCGAGTCTCTGTTAAAGCTCGCGCAGATGGCATGTTAGCATCGAGAATCGTTAATTAATTAATTCACCGAGAGACCTTCGTAGTCGTAGTAGTTATTAGTAATTGATGCGGCGAATTAATTAATCCTCGCGCTTAATTGGGGTCCATTTAGGAGCAGATTCTTCCGCTAAGACGTTTTCCTCATCATCTTATAGAGATAATTAGAGAGGCGGTTTTCGGTTTTGCTAAAAAAGCGGTCGTAATTGACTCTAATAGGTTTTATAGAGGCATTAACGAAGAAGCAAAAAACGAAAATTAAGAAGAAATATTTGATAAAGAGGGCGATATTGTTGGCGTGGGTTCTCTATTTTATGGGTCATAATCAGTTGGTTTTGTTTGATTTGTATGACGAGATGTGCGGCGAAATGGAAAATTTGTGCGTTTAAATGAATAGAGAAGTTCAGGAAGTTCACCGTTACCGTTTAATAGTTTAATGTTATTTTATGTTCATTCTAGATTATGAGATAAAATGAAAGATAAGAAGCTACTCAGGTTGATTAAAGTGCACAATGAAGACTTTAAGTTAAAAATACAAAATTGACTTATCTTATCCTCTAAGGATAGAGTTGGGTTGGGTAAGTTTTAAAGGAATGGTAGAGGAAATGGCAGATTTATTTATTTCACTATTTGGGATACATACAGAGTAATCCCCACAACAATATCTTCTAAAATACAAAAACCAAGTTAACAAAAAATACAAAAGAACTCAATTACAATTTAAGCAACTAAAAAATAACAGGAATGATATTCAAAAGGCGAATCCCTCAAGGCACGAAATTGATTTTTTCATAGTAGACAAGAGAGAAATCATACAAAACGTAAAAATTGAACAGAAAATAGATATCGGTAGTGATCACTATGGCACGGAACTTTTGTAACAAAACGATACGATTTTCCCCCTCCACTTGTTGTGGCCACTCAGTGACGTCTCTAAAAAACAAGCCCAGAAAACTAACCAATGAGAACTAGTGGAGGAGGAAATTCGTATCGTTTTGTTACAAAAGTTTCGTGTTCTAGTGATCACAGAGCGATAAAGATGACAGTATAGATAAGCACGAAATGATACCGCACATAAAGAAAATAATGAATTACAAATCTACTGATGAATTAAAAAGAGAAAACATTGAAGACCGAATAAAATGCGAATTAAGTTTGGAAGAAATTCAAGCTAACCCTAACATAGAAAATCAAAAACATATAATAACTAAGGCAATAACAAAGGTTACAAAGGATATTCAAAAAGTTACTACGGGAGGAAGTATAAGGAAAAGTGTGAGACAACAATCACTGGGACAAAACAAAATAATAGCAATGAAAGATAAGAACGGTATGAGCAAAAGGGAAGATGCAGAAATATTAAACATTATATGCGACTTTTATAAGGAATTATACAACAAGGCGGAAAAAGAAGGAATTGAATGGAATACGGGAGCAGACATAATGGAGGCAGAAGAAAGGGAGAATGAACAAACACAATACGAAATAATGACAGAAGATATAAATGATCTAATATCAAAACTGAAGGAAGGAAAAATTGGAGGTATAGATCAGATAAGAAATGAAGAAATAAAAGCAGGTGGAAACCATATAATGATAATATTGAAGGAAATTTTTAATAACTGCTTGAAACAAAAAGAGATACCTGATAGCTGGCTCGTAGCTAAATTAGCCTTAATACACAAAAAAGGCGATCAACAATTACAGACCAATAAGTTTACTTCCGATGATGTATAAAATATTTATGTCCATAATTACAAGGAGAATAGAGCAACACCTACCATCCTCGGAAGATCAAACAAGATTTAAGAACTTCTCCTCGCTAGACAATATTTTAGTCGTGCAGCAACTGATAAAAAAATCGAATGACTACGACTTCCCAATGATCTTATTTTTTGTCTTTTTTGAGGCGTTTTTTGATATTATAAGAGCAGAACTCTTCTTGGTGGTGCTGCCGTCTTGTGTTGTGGACGAGTAGTTTCTTCTTTTATTAAATTATATATATAAAAACTAGGAAACTATTACTCTAGGAAATGGATTGAAGCAAGGTGATGTGACTTCTGCAAAGCTATTCAATGCAGTATTGGAAACAATGTTTGTAGAAGAAGAATGGATAAACTTGGGAATAAGAATAAATGGGCAATGGTTGAACAGGCTAAAATTTGCTGATGACATAGTACTTATAGGAAAAAACGAAAGAGAAGTAAGAAAAATGCTGGAAACAATATCGAGGAAAGCAAACTGGTCTGGAGATAAATATGAGCAAGACAAAAGCAATGTACATAAATTTCGAACAAAAAAATAAAATAATTGTATATCTCGGACAAAAGATTATAACTAAAAACACAGGAGAAGAAATAACACGGAGAATGGCAATGGGATGGCAAATGTTTAACAGATACAAAAATATATGGAAATCAAACATAGAAATGCAAAAAAAGAAAAAATTATGGGAAATCTGTGTCCTCCCTGTCATGATTTATGGATGCGAGACATGGATGTATGTGTATGTAGTTTCATGTGAGGTTGGTTATACCACCTGTGGTTTAACGGTTTAACTTAATAAATTAACGCCTCGCCTTCAGCCGGGCTGGTACTCCAACGCCCAGAAACTTGGGTGCATGGCTGAGTACCGCTCAAAGAGCGCAGACGCGCTTTCAACCCGTTTTTATGTTTACAACCTCCAACTACACATGTATCTGACGACAACCAGAGATGTTACACTGGTTGCCGGGACCGACGGCTTAACGTCCCCTCCGAAGGATGGGGAGGCGACTCGGCGTGTATTCACTGGAAATCGAACCCAGGACGCCGGCGAGACATGGTTATTAACAAACAAAATTTAAAAGATTAGGGTAACAGCAAGGGCAATGCATAGAAGGATGATTGGCATTACGAAGAAAGATAAAAAACAAAACAATGGATGAGGGAAAAGTCAAACATTGAGGATATTGGAAAAATAGTATTGGACCGAAAATGGGATTGGGCGGGTCATATTATAGCAGTAAATGACAAAAGATGGACCACAAAAGAATCTTAGAATGGTACCCAATGGACAAAAAGAGAAGAAAAGGAAGACTGCCAGCTGGGAAGATGAGTTTAAGAGGAGTTGTGGAGGAGTAACATGGCACAGAGTAGCTTGGGACCGACAAGAATGGAATAGAATGAACGAGATATACAAGGAAATATGGCTTTACACGCACTAAATATCACGAGCATACGAACTCAGTCCCATTACGGGAATTTTGATTTTGATTTGTTAAATTGTATCATAAATGAAAAGTAAAGTTTACAATATTAATATTAATTTTGTGTTAAATGTACAAAAGTTTATATGAGTTGTTTCTTTTTGTTGGTGACAATAAATGGCTATCTATCTATCTATACAGGATTCGAAACAACCGTTGTATAATTTAGAACACTATTTACATAGACCATGTATAAGGACCTTATACATTGTAGTAGGTTAATAAAAGGTCTGGAAATTCTGATGATGTAACCTAAAATCCTATTAGCCTTAGAGAATAATTCTTCCGAATGATTTGTGAAGAGCAATTTAAAGTCGAAAACGATACCCAGATCCTTTACACTAGAAGTACTGAAGGTAATATGTATGCATTTGTCATAATTTAGATAAAGAAAATTGTTTGTGCAGTAATTTTGCAAACGATTAAGGTCTAAAAATAAATATAAATCGAGTCATTAAAATTAGTCTCAGTCAGACAAATAACGTCACAATTACAATGTAACGAATTCACGTAAGCAGTTTCAGTTTTACTGTGCAAACCACGCACGCCATGACTCTGCAGAAAATCACATTAGAACAGCCGGATCATGTCAGGGATCAAAACTTAAAGTTTTATTAAATCAGCTTCAGACTTGATTACCATAGCTCTTGATTGATCATTCCAACGTACATGAATGACGCAATTTTTCAACCACACGTATTTATAACCTGTATTACGACAAGCCGATTTAGTTGACTTCAACAGCCCGGTATAGCGTATAGTTAGATTGCTAAGATGTTGGTTGACGAATAACCTTTCAGTAATGTTGGGAATGTTTAAACCAGGGAAGCCATTATTATTGTTTCTGCGATACCGTTTCGACACCGTGAAAAAATGATCACGCAAATCGCGGGATAGAAATTTAACCACAATGTTTTAGTGTTTAGGAATACCAGTGTCACTTCCAGCAGGAAATGTTGGTCTTGCAGTCTTGTTTGGTTACTGGACAGTTTATTACTTCTCCAATCTTTGATCATGTAGAACAAAGATCTTCATCTCTTTTCTCAGGGATCCCAGACAGGATTAAATTGTTTAATTTGGAGTATTGTTCCTCTTTGAAATGCCTCAATTGATCTCAACTTGCTACAAATTAATACCCTTGGTACACTCATAACGTATACCTAATTTGGTTTTTCTATCTTATTATTACGAAGATATTGAATGTTTTAAAAATTTAAAACCCAATTTTGAAGGCTTATAACCCCTCAGGGATACAACTAGGTATAGAGGCAAATTGCGTTAAATCATCTTAATTTATTGTCCTCTACATGTCCCTGCTCTGCGTCGGTTCTTATGTGAATCACCGTGTATAGCACCGATTCAAAGTTCGATATGGAAACTGTCAGACGAAAATGGATAGGTGATATAGGACGGATTTATATGTATTAAGTGATAAAAAAACCTACAAATTTATAATTACTCATTTTTATTATAAATATTATTACAATAGTAGTATCTTACAATTTATTACAGAGTTAGAAAATCATTTAACCAACCTATTTAATTTTTTTATAAGGCCAGCCCCTCGTAAAACATGACATAAAACGAATACCGGGCAAATACAAATTAATTAAACAAGAACGATGGCACAAAATTAGTATATCAGGCAAGATACACACGTTAAAAAACAAACACTAGGATATTAAACGCAAAAAAAAACAATTTTTTCTTCATTCTTTCTTTCTAATTTGCCGTAATTATTGTTACAAAAGTCGTTAAGTATTTTAGCCGTCACTCATCACTAGTATTCAATAAATTTTAGGATGCCTCAAATGCAGTCGTGTAAAAATACGTTATTACGAACGCTATTATTATTATTATTATTATCGTGATACAACTACTGGACGGATCTTTCTTTTAATCTTAAAATTTTTATTTTTATTAGTTATTTCAATTTTTTGTTAATAATAAATAGCGATAAGTATGTTTTTTTTTGTGCGCTCATCTCGAGACTAATTATTATTGAAATTGTACGTATTAAAAAAGTATTCTAAGGCGAGTTAAACCTGTTAAAGAGATCCGATGATGATATATATATTTTTTTTAACAAACAATTTTATTGTCAGTCAAACATCGATTTAATTTGCGTATAAATCTCTTTTATAGTTGAACCAACGTTACCTGGTATTGAAATTTTCTTGCCGAGTACCGATTTAATACTCATTATGCTTTCGTGACACTTTTGCGATTTTCTATAACGTTCCTCACGTGGTATATCAACTCCAAACGATCCCACTGGTGATTGTATATTTGACTTGATTACAGATCCGAAATGTCGTAAAATTAACTTCAGGGAATTACAAGCTCTTGTGATGTAACTGAAATTAAAAAACAACAAGAAAATTAGACCGCTTAATTAATTATTTTAAACCGGGTTTTGCATAATTCTAATCAAAAATTTATTACATCCAATATGTATAAATCGAAAATTATTGCATAGTAATTAAACGAACGTTTAAAGTTGTGTTCTATCTATATGCAAATTTGATTAATTAATCGCTTCATCGCAAAATCTAAAGTATAACAACAAAAAATGTTAAAGTGTTTTAAATAAATGTATTCCAACAACAACAAAAAAGTTTTCGGTTTCTCCTTTATAATAAGTTTATTCTAATTTTCTTAACTCATTACCATATTTTCTCTCTGATTGTTAAAATATGTCAGAAGTTGACACGGCCGAGTCTCGCCTTGCACTCAACCTAACGCTCGATTACGTACTCCATAAATTAAATATAATATTATGCGGCGTAAAAAAGGGGCTGGGTTATGCGTAGAAAGCAACGTGTTCCGTTTTCTATTGAATAAGAAATGATTCTTAAATTGCCCGCTCTTAATTAACCCGTGCATTGTTTTTTGGTATAACTACACGTATGTTTTGCTAATGTACTTCACTTCGGGTAATCATTTCCCACTTTCTTACGACAGACCAATTAAAATATGAAAGTGAGTAGCGGTGTGTTTAGTATCTAAAAAGAAAATTTGTACTTAAAAGTAAACAAGAACTCAAAACGATCAATATTGAAATTTATTTAATTTTTATTATATCAGGGATTTCATTTAACTCGCAATATATGAATGCAGTAACCATATAGTTGCGAAACTACTATGCATTTGCAGTGTCCAACATAAAATGCAACATACCTTAATAGTACAGGCTTTGGGTAATTTTGCAAAGAAAAAGCTTTGCTTGGAAAAAGGTGACAAAGAAACATTCTGGTTTAGCCGCACGTCTCTCAAGACGGCAAAACCCGAATGATTCTAGTTCTAGATCTTGTGTTAGTTCTAGTGATAGTGCTAGTGTAAAACTACAACTAACACAAGACCGAGAACTAGAAACATTCGGATTTAGCCGCACGTCTCTCAAGACGGCTAAACCCGAATGATTCTAGTTTTCGGTCTAGTGTTAGTGATAGTTTAAAACTAGAACTAACACTAGACCGAGAACTAGAAATATTAGGGTACATCTGTCAAGACGGCTAAACCCGACTAAATGTCGTGAAGAACATGTTCGAAATTCGTGATCAGTTTAGGATCACCCAAAGAAAAATCTGCAGTTTAAATCCTACAATTATTTTCAAAAGTAATGAAATATTGAGGTTAAAATATTTACATTGGCAACTCTTGAGATGGATCTTCGATAACTATTTTAATATCAAATAAACATAGTCAAATTCGAAATGCCTTCGTTCATTTAAGAGAAAGTATCCAGATGATAAATGGAGATTCATGTTCCAAAACTTATAACTTTTTATTTTTCCACTTGGTAGAAGATTCTTAGCCTTAATTTTATTATATGATCAGAATTAACAAGATACTGGGAACTAAAATACTCTTAGCATCACCAAATCAAATGATGTGATTTTTTATCTACTATAACCAATATATAGAGATTTCTGTTGGAAATTTGCGTCTTGCCGCTTGTCAAAATTCTAATTTGCAATACTTCCATGTAGATAAATATCTATTGTCTAGTTGAGCTAAAATTTAAAGAGTCAAAATTTAGGTTCATGTCCTAAGACTTATCAAAATCAAGACTAAACTGTTCTGGAACCCATACATGCTAAGTCTTCAGCTGATATCTGTCAGTATCTGATTCTGCGCTTAAAAGAAAATCTCCAATCTTAGTCTTATACTTATTTTTAGAAATAATGGGAAATTGGAGACTATAATATTTGCACTGGGAAGTGTTAAGATGGATTTTACAGTTATTTAGTTTCAAATAGACACTCTTAAAGCTGAAATGTGTTCGGGTATTGAGATATCAAATCCATATTCATGACCAAAACTCGTCAGCTTCTAATTGTTAAAGTCTTAGCATCGATATTTGTTGAAGATTACCAAGATAACAGAGACTAAACGCTCTAACCATTGCCAACCTAATGCCGGGTTTATACAGAATTTAGATGTAAATTTAAATTTAAAGATTTAGATTTAAGGATTTTATTTAGCTTTAAGAAAAAAATTGATTTATACAGAATTTAAGATTTACAGAATCACAACCTCAAGAAANAAAAACACGTCATTAATATTTTTAAACGTACTATAAGGACACATAATATCGCCAAAATCGACAGGGTAGTTTTTAAAATATTCCAAAAAACTAGGGGTAGTTTACCCCCTAAAGCCCTCAGATATATGTGTGATATATCAATGGAAAGCTCTTTGAAAATGAATATCAGTTTACGTTTACCACATTTCGATAGCTATTTTCGTTTTCAGCCTATAAGCGAATATATATATTTCGCCCCGATCCAACCCTTATAATTCGCCCCAGGGGCTTTATTAGCACGTATAAAAAAATACGTAAACCTTATTTTTAACCATACTATCGCTGTACCAAATTTCAACAAAATCGGTGAGGGACAGTTCTGATACTTCCCTTGTTAGTCTTATACTTATTTTTAGAAATAATGGGAAATTGGAGACTATAATATTTGCACTGGGAAGTGTTAGGACGGATTTTACTGTTATTTAGTTTCAAATAAACACTCTTAAAGCTGAAATGTGTTCGGGTATCGAGATATCAAATCCAGATTCATGACCCAAACTCGTCAGCTTTTAATTGTTAAAGTCTTAGCACCGATATTTGTTGAAGATTGCCAAGATAACAGAGACTAAACGCTCTAACCATTGCCAACCTAAGTCTTGAGTTGGATTTGAACACCATTTTAGTCTTTAAGACGTTTGCGGCAGGCGCGGATAGGAAATTCCACTTTAAACCGAATGATTCTAGTTCTAGTGCAAGTGTAAAACTAGAATCAACACTATACCTAGAACTAGAATCATTCGAACCCAACCCAACCCAACCCAACCCAAATGATTCTGTTCTTGGTGTAGCTCTGCATAACAATTAAAACTAGAACTAACAGTAGATCTAGAAAGGTTTGGGTGCACATTTTTATCAATGTGCGAAACATGTCAAAGGCAGAAAAACAAAAACAAGACCTGGTGTCAAAACCTGGTACACCAAGATTATTTAAAACAAAAAGACCTACAAAAGTTAATGATTATAATGAAAAAGTAATATTTGTAAAATCAGTTTTAAAGGAGTTGGCGTCTTAAATGGAAATGGAAAGCAGCATCGAAATCAATCCAAAATTTTATTGAAAAGGCAAATCAAAATATGGAGGAAATTTTGACTTCTTGTATGCAGAATAATTGGTCCGATGAACTCAGATTTGTTCTTATTACGAAGAATAGAGCAGCTTATTCTGACAAAGAAGTTTTCTTTTTTTCGCTATGTTTGGAACAAAACCAAAAGTGAAAGACTGGTATTGAATTTACCGTTGAGTCAGATTAATACTCTTCAAAAATGAAGAATTAAAAAGATTCCATCCTCGTTTCAGTAAAGTCCTAATTTATATTGACGGGGTTTAAAGGTTAATACAGATCTTGGTGTAATCACATATCTAATTTGATCAACGTAGCTACCTACGTTTTTAAGTTATCATCTTTTTCGTTTAAGATTTACTTAGAAGCAGATCGGCTAAATTTATTTGTAGACGGATTTGGCTTAAGTATGCATGCTTTAGGGTCTGGATTGAATATGGATCAGATCTGCTGATTAGTTTAAGAATGGCTTGGGTTGGGTTGGGTTGGGTTGGGTTGCAGACGCCCGGCTAAACCCGAATGTTTTTAGTTCTAGCTCTAGTGTTAGTTCTATCACTAGAACTAACATTAGACCTAGAACTAGAAATATTCAGACATGTTACATTTTATTTGGGACAAAGTAAGTAAGTACGCTCTATTTTCTATGGAAAAATATTTTTGTATATTGCATCTTAACTGAAATTCACTGCATAAAATGAAAATCTTTCAATTTTTAAAGTTTTAGTTTATACATTAAATTTAATTAATGTTACCTCTTACAAATGTACAATTTAACGGATAATTAAGTAAATGCAATTCAAATAGAAACTCACGCAAATTTAAATTATATTAATTAGTTGTAACCACAACGTAAGTGAATTTCTTAAAAAGTTTCAAAATAAAAATAAAATTCAACGTAACAAACGATCCGTGTAAAGTCGAATTAAAAGGGGTCAAACTGAGGAGAAGCACATCGGTGAAGGGTTACTCTCCTTCTGACTCTTTTCTGGTACCATTATGCTCGTACACGTTTTCCAATACTGTTCGGCATCTACGCGCAGTCACTCGTCTGTGAAAAATGGCCGGGTAATTGCACAATAACGCGCGCGGTGTGGAGGAGGAACGCGTTTATTCTTTTTTATATACTACAATCGCGGCGCGGTAACGTTTAACGATCGGGATTTCGTGGGACAGAAGCCGCGTTGCGGTTTCCATCGCAAATCTCGGCCTCTTTACACCGAACCCGACTGTAAATAAGATGAAAAAAATCGAAAGGAGTGAGTTCAATCAGATTATAAGAACAGTTTTTTTGGATTAAAGTTAATTTAAAAACAAAAATTAATTTTTCAATTCTCATTATAATTTCAAAGTTAATAACATAGTAATAATCGCTCCATAATAGTAATGAGAATGAAAATAATGATGATATCTAAATTAAAAAACGTTTATAGCGTTTTAACCAAGATATTAATGCTTATAAACATAAGAATCAGTAAAAGATGCTGAGGAATTAATCTATACTTAGTTCTTTCTATAATAATTTGCTTTGGACACTCCCTATTTCGTAGCGCAACTTTTAACACCTCTTTAAAATCATAAATATCCATCGTTTCGATTTGATTAAGGTTCCAGACTGGACGTCGCGCCTTTATTCCTTTATGTAAGTAAAATAAAGTCGCGACGTCCTGTCTAGAACACACACCAATCGGAGGCCGCGCGATGTAATTTAGATTTTTTGCTATGATAGTAATCTCCAAATAGGTTAGATATTAACAAGATAACATTAAATTGGCTTTGTTCATTTGTATGCTGTTATCAAGAAATCGTAATTACATAATTAAGCAAAAACTGTTGATAACCTCCTTTATTAACTCGTTGTTTTTTTTGCTTTAAAATTATGAGGTAAATCAGATTATTACTTTAATCGAGATACAACGGCAATAAATTAGATTTCCGCCGCTTTGAATAATGAAAAAAAATCAGAAAGATTTATAGCTAATAATAATTTATATGAAAATCTCTGTCGATACAATTACGATAAAATTATTTAAACGTCTAAGAAATAGGAAGTGAGAAAGGAAAAGGAAACGTGGAAAAAAAAATTGAACTGATTTATAAACCAGAAATGTGTAACATGTAAAGAGAAAAACGAATTCCGACTCGATGAGTTATTTTTTTTAAATATAAAGCTCAATTTATCTCTCGTAATTAATAAATAAACAGGACAAAAAAGCTTTTAATACCATTTTAAACGGATATAAGCTCTCCTTTTTTAAAGTAATGTTATAAATAATTAAATTTATTACTTATTTTTTTTATGAGGAAACATCACGTAACCAATTAAGCGTATTTAATATTATGGCTTCTCGTCAGGTTTATTTGCATGCGTTTCGCGTTTTGTAGTGATCATTAAAAAGAAATTAAATCCAAACGAACGGTATTTGTAGTTTCTAATAATAACATCTAGTTACACCAGCAATTACCACCAGGAATTACCATCTACAAATTTATTTATCAACAAAATTAGCGTTAACCGAACCGTAAATTAAAAACGTCTGCCCATGTAAGCATGTAATAAAAATTCCGAAACATTTAAAATGATATGCGAAGATTAATTAGATTAATAAAATCGATTACATTTTCGACATTTTCATAAATAATTCATTATGAATTAATATAATAAATTGAGCCGTTTCATCAATTTCTAACAGGATATTATTTTTTGTTTTGTAAAAAATTATTAATCGATGATTTAATCAGATTACTTTTCTCATTTTCATTTATTTAACAAATAGTTGTTGTAAATCTCATCTATAACTCTATGTTTAATACAACAGATTTTTTTACTGTTAGTCAAAAGATCACTTATCAATTTGAAGTTCTCTGTATCAAATAATTCTTTTAATCTAATGAAAGGATTTATAAAAGATTTAAATAAAGGGGGATTTGTTTAAACCGAAAAAAACTCTTTCATTACATTTAAACTAACAATTGCCCTCAAAATGTGCTAGACGCTGTGTAACACCAATTTTTTCAAATTTCTGTCTAATACGATGTGAATTCATTCCACTTGCGCACAGCTATGTTCTTCATACTTTTGGGTTATAGTTATAATGTTAGAATGATTTATTAAGAAATAAAGTAATGCAGAAGACTTGTAAGGGTTCTTATTTTGAAACACAAAATAAAATTGGTAATCTCAGCAGAAATCTTTTCCAACATAACATACAACGCACTTGTTGTACCTCCTTTTCTCCTCACACTTAATGTTTCAATTGATTTTTGTATTCCCTTAAGCTTCTAAGTTGCAAACTTCTTTTCCTAGTAAGCTATAAAAATGTTACTTTGAAAATCTATTATTTCATCGCTCAAGAATTTCTCAACATCATGCTTGATACCAGAGATTCTTCATAATTTCATATTTTTGGCAAGTTCCACATCTTTTTCTTTGCAGTAGTCACAGTACATGTGATATATTTTTGCTAAAGTTAATCATATTAAAGTTGTAAATACACAATAAGTTGTTCAAGAAGCTATTCTAAATCAAAGAAAATGATCCAGAATATGATGAAAATAAGCAGCAATAGTAGCCACGCAGAATATAACATTGAAGAACATAATACAAATAAAGCTTTAATAGTTACAGATACAACTTGCAAATTAATTCAAATCCGATTATTGCCAAGTGATGATTTTGAATGTTATGGTTATGAATATGAAATTGATATAAAGTAAGCAATTAAGCATAATTGAGATTGAGCGAATTTGCAGAAGATATTATTGAGTTCTATAGAATTGTTTGGATGATATAGTAACAGCTAATTTTTATATTTTAGGTTGCAATACTAAGAGATGCGTTGTTTAAGTAGATAATGTTGAAACATTTTCTTTATAACATTGTACAATAGAAAAAAAATTCCATATGTATATGTCTCAAGATACTCTTAGAACTTAACCAACCCAAGAAAACCCAAAATTATATGTTTTTAGCTAGTGATGCACCTTTCCGCAAATATTAGTTTTTTATTTGTTTATTTGTAAAGATCAGATGAACAAATATCCAATTGTACCAGTTTTTCTTACAGTGTATGCTTTATTTCTCTTCAACCTCCAGCTGTACTAATCCATGTTAGATGTTTAGTGTCAAAGAGTTAAATGGTATATAACTCCAAGAGTGACTAGACATACTATAGATACATTAAATAACGTGTTTATATGTTTACAAATAGTTATGAAATTCATTATACTTAGATTGTAATGGAAACAATGATTATACACATTAAAAAGGCAAATCTTCATAAGACGAATAGGCAACCAACATTACACGAAAGCTACTCAACGCGATAAAACATACTGAAATTTTTATTTACTTATAAATCGGTTTGTAAAAACAAAAAGGTCAGAAAACGCTGCATGTGCTTGTGTTTTTCTCTTTACAAATGACATTGGTTTTCACAACATTCAATTCAGTTGTTAATGGATTACTTATGGTTACTAAACTTACTAAAGATAAAGTAATTGGTGCTGCTACCAAATCAAATAGCTAAATACGTTTGGTCCAATCCCAATATTAAACACCGTTTTGAAAGCAATAGAGTAATCAAACGAGCTTGTATTGGTATTTTCTATCTTTAAAGTTATTGAAACAACTTTTTCACTTATACGTGGGACAGCCAGAAAAGAGAAAAAGATTATATAGATAGGTTGGGACCATAGATATGAAACGATATGTGTCGAAGAACAAGGTTTTATAAATCCACTTCACATTAAATTGGAGATAATACGAAATTTTATAAATACAAAATTTTGATGACGATGTTGAAGGGGTTTTACATCTAAAGATATTTGTTCTTGATAACTGGTTAATTGTTTATTTGTATAATTGTTCCAATGATATAAATTTAACGAATTTAGAAGTGAAACATTTTGAACCCTGACCCTTGGATAATGACTAATGACATATTAAACATAGAATAGTAACTGTTAATAGCAACTAATGCAATATTTAGATTATATTTAAGAGCAACTTAGGGATAAAGATAACCCAGATAAATTAGAAAGTCCTGAATCAGAGATGGTGATATAGAACACAAAGGAGAACCAGTTCAGTGGAGATATTAAAAAAGCAAAGTTATTGCTTTTAAACAAAGATATATCACACAGACTGCATTCTGCAACAATTTCTTTGTTAATGAAATCATTTTAATTCCTTAGAAAGTTATTAATATAAATAATTAGTGCCATCTATGCAATAAAAGATGAAACTCGCTTTTATTCGTTGACTCTAAAATGCATAGATGGCGCTTCATTAAATTTAAAAATTTCAATTAAATAAATTGTTAAATTATCTTTGATCTAATTTATACGAATTATAAATTTGAATTATTATATTCTATAAGCATCAATTTTTGATTAAAATTTGACAACTAATCATACAAACTTGGAAATAAATCAAAAAAGTGTATATTAAGTTGCCTATACTGTAGAAAATTTTTAAATTTATTAATGTAATCAAAAGAAAGTACTTACGATTCATATTTAGTCAATAACAACTCTTCAATTTTTGGTAATAATAAAACACATATATCCAAATTCCATAAAGTACTAAAAGAAAATAATAAATCATAATCACACATTAAAAAAAAATAATTAAAAATCTTACTATTTCTGATTGATGATTCCTAATAAGTCTATAATTAGAGCTAAATCGTTAAAAGTTAGAGCCGTTTCAACACCTGACTTCATATCCTTGCTGTGGTACTGTGTTAAAACTATTTGAAGCTGGCGCTTTCTACTTTTTAACACTGACAACATTGGGACATGTCCACCCAAGATAACTCCCAAAACTTCCGTTTCCGACATGTCCGGCAATTGTTGTTGCATCCCAAATGATCTGGCCGATTTCTATGAAACAAACACAACAAAAGAATAACTAAGAATAACTAAAAATAATGGTGAGTTGAAGATTAAATAACAATAAATACTAAGAGTGGGAGTTTTATGATAAGATTTCTTTTGGAAATGAAACAGAACAAAGTGCAAGAATTTCACTGATTAAATACTTACAGGTAAAAAATCGTCCAAATCAAGTCCAACAGGTTTATCGATAGAAACAGGAATAAAATCGTCAAATTCGTTGTTTTGTAAACTTTCTTCTGGCGATGATTTTGGACTAACATAAATATCAATTGGTTGCGTTTGCATAATAGGGACAGATTTAGGCACATTATGCTCACTTCTATTTGAATTTAACGGTATTTTCGATGACGTTACATTCGGAACACTTAGTATCCTATTAGGTTTTGAAAACGAATTCTTTCGCACGTGGTTATTTTGTCTTGCCGACGATAAACTTTTACTAATATTCGCATCAGACGCGCTATGTTTTATCGCGTTATTATTCCTGTGATTATTAGTTTTCTCTTGAGCATTACCCCGACTGTGTTGACGTTGAATTGCATGTTTCGGTGCTTGTTGTACTTTCGGTTTGTTAGTTTGCACCTCATCTTTTTCAGCTTTCGCAATTTTCGTTGAGTACACTTGGTCCAAATTGGATTTAGACCGGGTGTATGGAGAAGGTGGATTTTTTACGGGCTTTGGAAATGGAACACAATTGATACGTTCGTCTAAAGATGATGGATGTTCCGTATTATTCCATCGTTCGTTTACTAAAATTTGAGGTGCAGTTGGATCTAAGAAAAATTAAATTAAGTAATGATTTTTATTATAGATTTAAATTATAATTACCTGTTATTGTTTCTATACCGTTGTCTTCGTAAAGATATGAGTCTAAAGGTGGTGGCGTTCGAACTACTAAAAAAATAAAAAAAACATAAAATAGTAAATTGTCAAATTAAAGATAAGCAATATCTAATAAAGATTGTATCGAACATGAAAAAGGAAGTAACCGTTAATTGTCCCAAATCGGGTATACATCCTGTTGAATGAATCCTTTTGCATTGTGATTGCAAACAATAGAGAGCTCATTATCTCTCCAAAGTGGTTCTATTAAAAACAATTCGAACACGAAATTGTACCGTTGGCATTAAACGCTCTAAAAAAATCCGGTACGATCACGACATTCACTTATGCAATAGGTAAAGTCAACAGTAACAAAGTGAACCAATATTATTTAAACTCAACCCGTATCCTGAACCACTTCATGGTTGAATTTATTGCGTTATAGAAGATTAGAATGAAAGTGAAACACCAACTGGGTTGCATGTGTACCATAAATGTTAAGCAAGAAATCATTCCTTTTTAAATCAACTCTGAATGAAATTGAATTGAGTTCAATTAATCAAGATAAATTGTAATCCACTGCATGTTAACGACCTTAAATGCTTAAATAAATCCTATCTTATATGAACAAAAGATTTTGTAAACATTAAATTTAATGTGATGACACACAACGGAAATTTTGGAGAATTGTATCACAAAAATAAAGTGAACAAAGAAATTTTTCTTTTGAATTCATTATAAAAATTCTAAGAGCTCGCACAATGCTTTAATTTGCGCCGTTGAATTAATTTACGCGTGAAGGCGTATACCAGGCACAGAAAGCACTGAAAAAAATTGATATAGATATATCGATCTAAAAGTAGGACAACCCACAAACAACAATTACCATTACACGCGCTGGCAACATTAACCAAACGTGGCAGAACGAAAACCTTTTCGATTTTAACATCTTAAGACAATTAGAAATCTATACCAAAATGAAACCACAAAGTATACTTTTAATCAAAAATATTGTCATAATATAGTTTTTATTTCCTACTTTCATGTAGGAAGTTATTTAAGGTCATTTAATTATCTTAGAATTATAAAGAAATGTTTATGTAGGATCTGTGGTGCCCATAAAGACCTGAAAAGATGAGGTGAATATATCTTTTATTTTGTTTTTGGATGGTGCCACTTTTCTGGCGTCGGGTTTGTCCTCAATATCTACGACACTACAAAGAGTTTCTTGTCTCAACACACACTAGGTATGATTCCAAGTCGCCCATCTGCGTCGGGTTGATCCTGAAGAAAATTTTATCAAAACTTCAAATATTGTTTTCTCAAAAACTAAAAGTTATTTTTCAAAACGGGTTGGTTCATTGGAAAGAGGACACTTTTATTAACACTTTGGGAAATTTTCATACTCATATTCCAAGAAATGGATTTTATACGAATTTTTAAAACTTAATCGGCGAAAATTGCAAAATTCGAAAAAATTTTCGATTATTTCAAAAATTTATTTCTCAAGAACTAAAAGTGATTTTTCAAAACGGCTTTTTGCATTAAAAAGAGGATACTTTAATTAATAATCGAAAGTGATAACAGCTACAGTAATGAATGTGATGATGAATTACAAGCGAAGAGATGAAAACTAGACGAAACTGCAACAAGAGATTTTATATATCGTATTGGGATTGTTACAATGAGGTTGCTAATTTGCTAAGTTGGTTGTATTCAATGAAAAAAGTCCTATTGGGGTTGAACTTAATTATTATCTGTAGTGTCCAACACCTAAAAGAGATACTAATTCCTGTGAATGGTGGAGAACTAAGTAATAGATTTTTAATATCCGGCTAAAGCCTTTAAATCACTTAATGCCGCGGAGCGTTTTACAAGCATCTGGAATTCCCCAGTGATAAGACCCCGCTCTGGTATTCAATATTTGTCTCTCCGGACAAATTGCACATTGGAAAACCTTTCAAATATTAGGTGGAGATGATTTTTTCCAGTTATTACAGTAAATAATGTCGTCCAAATACGCAAATACGAACTTTTCTTTAATGATTTTCACTCTTCTGGTTGGCGACCCAGGTTTTAAAACATCAAAATCAAAAACTCGTCACTTAAACAAGTACACAATGCAGATAAAACCCTCAAACTAAGACAACATCTATAATTATGCAAAACTGTTTAAAATCGTATCTAAAATTACTAAAATTTATTAGAACCATAAAATCGTCTAAAATTACTAAACATAGAAGATCTCAGCACAAAAACTTTTGCAATTCAAGTTTCTTAAACACCAATTAAAAATCAAAACCAAAACGAAATGACAAAGGCTTTTTTAATTAAATGTTATAATAATCTCATTTAATTTTCAATTGAATACACGAGGCAATCTATGGAATGGTTCCAAAGCGGTTGTCGTAACCAGGTAAAGCAGCCTCCTCTTTCCAAATAAGTCTTGGAGGTCAAGCTAATACGGCCGACTGACTCATTCACCCAGTTGAAGCAGTCGCGCTCTCGTTGACGTTTACCACTACCCAAAAAGAATTTCAAACGATCTCCTATTGCGATACGATTGTTTGTACGGAATGAAACTCCTATTGTTATCCTCTCTTCTATTGTGTAACGTATCGTATATGAGTGTGTATTGTGTGTTACATGAAGCATCAATCTTTTCTATGCTATTAATTGAGAACAAGCTCTTTAAAATATAAACGAGGATGCGTAGCAAGAATTTATAAGAAAAATTCGGGGTTAAAAGTAATTTGTATTCATTCCAATTTAAGTAAACGAGGAAACATAAAATTATTCGTTTTGAATGAACAATACAAAATTATTCAAAATGAAATGAATAATTTATTTTGCGTCTCTTTAACCAAAAATTTTAAATGTATTCATTTAAATGATGCATTCGTAGAATAATAAAGGGAAAAGGAACAGTTTTAATGAATTATAAAACAATGAAGTAAATCAATACAGTTGCATCTCGTTAAATTGCAGCTTCTAACAGAAGTTTCCTTCGTAAAGTACATTTCTCTGGAACGCAGAAAGTTAACAGTTCATTAGCAATGGGGGGCTTTCACTAAAATAAACACCCAATACGATTGCGATAACTTTGAGGTGCGTAATTTAAGCACGTATTAACGTCTGACTAGTTTCCGGTACAATAAAATGCAGTGATGTAATATTTTAAAATGTAAGTAATAAAATGAAGCATATTTTTTGTTGATGGTAATATACAAAAAAATTATTTTTATAGGTACTTATTAGAAAGTTATAAAATTTCTTGCAATAAAAAATTTAATTATACCACATTAGAATGAAAAATGTCGTGAATGTTGGAATTTAAATAATAGTCATTATTGTAATGTGATCTTGTTAACTGTAACACCATATGTTGCCAATAATCCAAATCGAAACTAATCGTAGACAAAACGTTCAACAAAGCCTGTTCAAGCAGAAGGCTAACCTTGAATTATAACACCATTTATAGTTTTTGTCCTAACAAAAGATTTATAAAACATTACTTGAACGAATAATGTCAAGGAAATTGTGTCTTTAATGTGAGAAAAAATTTCATTAATTCTTCTTTTTCTTTAAATTTCGTTGTTACCGTTAATTTTCCACAAATTGCCCACTCAAGAAACGGTTCTTACGCATTGTGCTCCAGTAACGGACCGAGAAACGACGAATTTTTCTCATACTTACAACTCCTCCCATGGAAGATCTCGTTGTAATCCTTCAAGTTGGTGATATCAGCCGTTGAATCTTCTTCCGGGTCCGTGCCAGATGTGCTCTCCTCGATCGTTTTTACCTCAATCGTTGACTTATTTCTTAATCCAACGGGTTTCTCAGCTTTGGAAAAACTTTTTCTTGTACTTTGATTTGGCGTAAATGGATTGTTTAATACATCGTTAGATCTTCCTATTGGTCGAACCTTTTGTAAATCTATTAGGTAGACCGCTACGTTGGTTTGATGAAATGATGCACCAACCTAAAACAATAAATACGAAGATATTATTTTTGAATAATAAAAGATAAGACAATAAATAAAGCTAATGATAAGATGAGTTCATCTCTTCTTTAATTTATATAATGGTACTTGTTTCATTAAAAATCTTATCTTTTAAATGATCCATATGACTTAAAATGTACTGTGTTTAATAAACTAAATAAAACTCGAATTCCTCCGTTGAAAATTTATCTTAACTTTCTCATCCGTTATAAATCATTAAAAGCTGAGTTTACTGATCTACAATTATTTTAATTTGAATTCCAGAGGAAATACGCAAATAATAATCCCTTCCATTTACTTTCACAATGAAATTATTTCGTTCCCTAACTTTAAAACTAATTTCTTCCCACCTTCACCTTGATATCCAAGAAAGTCAACGAACATTAACATAAACTATCCATAACAGGTCGTTATATACGTTATACACGAGACATTGGCTATTAAGGAACACGATAGTTGACTAATTAATTTGTATAACTTAATAAGGATATTAAGGAAATAAGAATTAGTCATGTAATGTTTTAAACTAAACTTATTTACTAAATTAAAAGTGAGGTGAGATTAAGTATAATTAACCGAAAAAAAGTAATAATCGACACTGAAATCTGAGAACTTTCTATCAACGGGGTACTTTTTAGAAAGTAATGTCGCTTTCTTGATGCTTCGTTGGCGCGTATCGTGGCGATTCTTCGGATAATTACCTATGCAAACAGTCTCCAGGATGAATTAGAGGCGTTTTAGCGTGACTTTAAGGATTAAAGACACCTTCGGCGTAATATTTCTTTAAAAAAAATACAGTTTAATTAAAAATTATTGTGATCGATCTATACTAATAAAAGTGAATTTAAAATTTTTCGTTTTCACTTTAAAGAAAATCTCGATTTTTTCTTTTTAGAGATAACGTCATAAAATAATAGCCTTAAGGTGTCCACGTGCGCCCATAATAGTAAATAGAAACTCGCTATTTATGACCCTGACACTGACGACTTTGTACCAACAACTTTGCGAAATTGCAAGGTTGTTATCAAGACGGGATTATCTCGTATAAAACGCGACAAGATGTACGTTTTAACCGTTTTGGTTTGTTGTGGGTATTTATTAGACAACTTTTTAAAGTATTCCAAGAAACGATAAGAAGTTGAGTCAGAAAGTTTTATAGGAAATTCAAGGTGTAATAATTATTTTCATGACTCTAAAGGTTTATGGTTGAAAAACGCAATTTGTTAAATTGGACAATTTTATTTTGTAACTTTTGTTTTGAGAAAATTCTTGAAAATATTCCAAGATTATTCATAAAAGAATGTTTATAAGTGAGATTCAAAAATGTAACGTGGGTGTTAGAAATTAGGTAACTTCAAGATCTAAAATAGGATATGTGCACAGATTACACCAGATGGTGTGTGTAAAGTATAGTTGTAATTTTTTCTCAAGGTTGCAATGTCACGGAGTGAACAGGTTTTGAAACGTTTTTTTACATAATACTTGGAATTGGCTACTTTATAATTGAAAAAATTAATTTGTGGCAACAAAAAATTCTTTGGCTAAATTAATGCTAGTTACTCTAGGTAAAATTTAACCTTAAATATAGGTAAGCTGTATTATTTATAGTCATAATTTAGCCGCAAGTTTATATTACATAATTCTAAATCATTGCTATAAAATAACAGTAGTACTAAAACTGGGTCAAAAATAATCCGAAACCATAATATTTTCAACTTCCTGCTTGTTTGTGTATTTTGTACAAAGAATGTTTATGAATGTACATAATTAGTTGCGTGATGACAAACATTGGATTATATATAATTTGATACTTAATTTAACTGAAGAAGTGAATTCTAACTTTTACTTTTCTAGCAAAACAAATAACGAAGCAACTTCAGTTATGAAATGACGATGATGGAAATAACGTATATTGAAAGTACTTCGTCATATTATAACAAAAAGTTGTTTAAAGCAGAGTTACTAATAATAAGTATACAAACAAATAGAATGTTTGAGAATTGAATCACCAAATAGAACAAAAGCAATTTGTGTCTTATAATAATACAAAAACTTAATATAATTTCGTACTCCCAAAAACAAAGAACTGAAATAGATGACTTCGACAATTTAGAAACTACTTAGATCTGACTGAAAATGTGTTCATCCGGTTGTTGAAAATTCTTTACACTATCTTCACAAGGTTAACAAAAATCGGCCTTATGTAAACAAAGTTACAACTGTGTGTTGAAATTCTGTTTAAATGTCATAAATACTAAAAAGAATAGCAATTTTCTTTGTATATCTTGAAACAGAATTAAAATCTAATAAATAATGTAGATAGTAGGTTTTATCATGAACTATTTACAAGATAAAAAACATTGTATGTGAGTTTATTAAATAAATTTTACACTATTTTGGCGTAATTTTAATTTTTTGGCTTTAGATTACCCCTCCAATATTTTTGTTGAGGTTTCACATCTTTGCCATCTGTTAAATGTTCTTCAGAGTTTTCTCCTTATAAGGTTCTTTATTGTAACAGTTAAACAAACTTTGTATTACTGTAGAAAATTGAAGACATCACAATTTTTGGAATTCATCAATTCAATTTGTATTGTACAGTAACAACTATTGTAAATATAATAGTATAAATATATGTGATAACTGTATAACTTTGTATGCCTCAATTTTCGCCGAGCTCTTTAGAGGCTTTAACATAATGCTGCTCCAGGTATCCTTGCTTACTACATAATGTGATGGGTGTTTCAACAAATTGCCAAAAAAGTGTTCAAGGTTTTTGTGTAAGGTTTATCTTATCAAAACATACAACACTATGATTTTTTCATTTTGCTTAAATTTGGCTTTGTCAGCTTACTATTTTTAATCTACGTTTCCATTATAAAACGTTGTAAGCCAGTGACGCTGAAAAACATTGTTCTATAAACTTGGACTGTTGAAAAAATTCTTCAAAACAAAGCGTTAAAATTTTGAATAAGAAATAAGAAATATCTAATAAAATTTTTTATACACCTTAAGTAATTTAGCCGTATTTGACAAAGTAAAACATATCATATTAATTTAACGCGTGTAATAACCTTCAAACAACTCATAGATAATAATTACCGTAGTTAAACAAAACGAATGTTATCAGTGTAACTCTGACTTAACAATTTATTTAGTTAGTTAATGTAATATAAATAACTTAACCATAATTATAAACCATTTAACTCCATCCAAACAAGATTATCATTCTGAATTCATTCACGATCCATTATTTAATTAATAAGAAAATTTCTTAACACACCGATTCATAAAGAAAATTATAATGAAAATTTTCGAAACATCTCTCATCAAGATATAGCGCAATAATAGAATTACTTAAAAAAATGAATGAGTTAACCAATTTCTTGACATTTAGAATAGTGTACAGTCAGGTTACCGTGAAGGATAAGGTAAAGTAAAGTAATCCACCGTTGAATTAGAACCAAGGCTGACCCCTGTCTAAAATGAAAAAAAAAATGAAAGAAAAAACTAGGTCGATAAAATGAAAAGGTAATAATAAAGGAGCAGGAATAAGATAAATTACAATTGTTATAACGTGACCGTAAGGTGGTCAACAGCCTTTGGGTACAAGGATCTTTATGGGGTCGCATGGCATTAACCTGGAAAAACGAAGCTATCGACTTAAAAAAAAAAAAAATGCCGACAACGACGTCGTCGCGTCGGTTAAAGTGGAAAACTGATTTTTCCTGAAGTAGGACAAGCCGATTAACGTCTAAGAAGTTGTAACGTTTAATGTTATAAACCATTTACGATCTTAACCATAAAGGCAATTACATTTAAAATGAGACCTAAAAAAATTGTAAGTGCAAAAAACACAAAATTTATTGGAAATTATTCGAATCAACAGACTGTTAAATTGTTTGAAACGAATCCAGATGGGTTTTATGACTTTTTAAAGTGGATTTAATTAAAAGGAACTAAAGGAAATGATCTTAAAATTTAAAAATTTGTTAAAGAAATAAATGGTTGTAAAAATGTACTTTCTAGAAAAGTTTTTAGTAAACTTGATGTGTTTTATTTAACCCGGATTCAGGGTTTTATACGTGATTCAAATTGCAAAAGAAATGATTTAGAAAAGAATTTTATTGAATCCAATTTCTCTTAGTATACATTTTAAATGTATTTGTAATTAAGAGAAGAACCAATTAACTAATAAAAATTTTGATTATGTTTGTAAATGCAGCGAAATTCAAACCGGATATTTCTAGTTCTAGTGTTAGTTCTAGTATAACACTAGCACTGTTACCTAGAACTAGAATCATTTGGGTTTAGCCGCATGTCTCTAAAGACGGCTAAACCCGAATGATTCTAGTTCTTGGTATAGTGTTAGTTTTAGTTTTACACTTGCACTGTCACTAGAACTAGAGTCATTCGGGTTTAGCCGTCTTTTAGAGACGTGTGGCTAAACCCAAATGATTCTAGTTCTTGGTCTAGCGCTATACAACAATTAAAACTAGAACTAACACTAGACCTAGAACTAGAAAGTTTCGGGAAAAACCGGATATTTCTAGTTCTAGGTCTAGTGTTAGTTCTAGTTTGACACTAGCACTGTTACTATGTAGAACTAACACTATGCCAAGAAGTAGAATCATTTGGGTTTAGCCGCATGTCTCTAAAGACGGCTAAACCCAAATGGCATAGTGTTAGTTCTAGTTTTACACTTACACTATCACTAGAACTAGATCATACGGGTTTAGCCGTCTTTAGAGACGTGTGGCTAAACCCAAATGATTCTAGTTCTTGGTCTAGTGCTGCACAACAATTAAAACTAGAATTAACACTAGACCTAGAACTAGAAAGTTTCGGGAAAACCCAGATATTTCTAGTTCTAGGGTAAATTCTAGTTTTACACTAGCACTGTTACTATGTAGAACTAACACTATACCTAGAATCAATCGGGTTTAGTCGTCTTTAGAGACAATAAAGAAATATAGAAG